GAGCGAGTGACATATCGTGCGATAGAGTGTCATTCGCGATCGAAGGATACAGATCGAGAGTATGTGCGTGTATGAGCACATGATATGAGACTAGAACGCGTCTGCAAAGTGACAAAGGAGCAGGCGAAGAAGCCTCTGACGAGAAGGTTTATCATCACGGAAGCGCTGTTTGAAAATCGCGGTGATATGGTGGATTTGCCGAAGATCGTAAGTTCTTTTCAAATGGCCGGCCTTCTTAGAATTTGGGTGCATGTTGGTATTGACAATTTTGTGTGTAGATCGAACTGAGACTGAAGTACAAATTCAGACTCATTCTCGACGAAACTTGGTCCTTTGGAGTCCTTGGTCGAACCGGGCGCGGAATTACGGAACACCAGAATGTCGATCCTACTCAAGTTGACATGATCGTGGGTTCATTGGCAGGTCCTCTGATCGCCGGCGGAGGGTTTTGTGCTGGCTCAGAGGAGATTGTCCATCATCAGCGGATTTCGGCTACCTCATACTGCTTCTCGGCGGCATTGCCAGCACTTCTCTCTACCACAGCCAGCGAAACATTGACATTACTGCAGGAAAGCCCAGAGTTGCTATCCACGCTTAGAGAAAATATCAAGATTATGTGGTCGCAGCTTGACCCACGGAGCGACTGGGTTTACTGCTCAAGCGCGCCGGAGAGCCCGATAATGTTTTTGGCATTGAAGCCCGAGGTCGTCTCATCTAGGCGTCTATCCATTGAGGATCAACAGCATATCATGCAGGATGCTGTTGACGAGGTGAGTTGATTACCACCTAATCCCTGTACGGGATCCCAGACGGTTCTAATATCTAACTAGGCTCTTGCCAACGGCGTTCTCATCACGCGACTAAAAACCATCCCTGATGAATCCGGACCAAAGCTCCTCGGCGGCCAAGTTCCACCAGCACTCAAAGTCTGCCTCACCACCGGCCTATCCAAAAAGGAAGTCGAAAAGGCAGGCACCGTTATTCGACACGCGATCACGAAAGTCATGAGACAAAGGCGATGAATTCGATGCTTTTGCGGAATGTCCATCGATTCATAAACGCGTATATGCTGGATGGCTATATCCTCATTCCGCTACCTAGGCCCTATATACCCTTTCCGGCTTTCTGGTCAGGCCTATGGTATCTTTTGTGCAGTGGTGTGAATTTTTTTACCCTTCTTACCAATCCATATTTTTAATATCTCCTTTTGGGGCGCTTTTCTTCATCGTTTTTTCCACCTTTAAAGACATGTAATAAATTCCTATAGACCTATACGCCCCCTTCCCTTTTTCCCTCGTTCCACCTGACCTAGACCTAGCTGGATGATGGGCTTTGGTTCTTGTATATACACCTGTATGAGATCCGCTGTACGTTACTTATGAGAAAAAGTGGGAAAATATTCATCAATGATTATAAATTTCGGAAAGTGTTTGTATTCGGGAGCTGAGATATTTGCGGATCACTTCCAATAGCCCTCCGTACCAAATGTTCAAACAATCCCGTGTAGTTTGCTTCGCCCGCAAGCTGCAATAGGTTTCGGACCAAATCTGGCATCCAACCCAGTATCAAGTGATTATAGTCGCAAGGGAATTCACCAAGGCTCAAGCAGCCCTCCTAGACCATTCTTCCAGCTTCTTATCCCTCTTCTCCTCGTGCCTGAGGTGGCCTCTGATCCGCGTGATCCATCCGACCTTTCCTCGGCCCCAGCCCACTAGATTCTTATACGATGACCGCGTGGCTTCCGAATCCCACCACCAGGTCCCATTTTCCGCAATGCCATCCTTTTGTCCAGTATTCCCTTTATCCACCTGTCGTTGTTTTCGTATCTCGTCGACGATGGAGAGAGTGTCCCAATTGAATCGAACACCAACCTCCTCCATCTCTTCCAGCACCTTCACCACGTACGGCAAATCGTTGTATACTCGCCATCTGAATGATATGAGTTCATTGCAGAGGCCCGCTGAAGCGCCCATCACTAGCGAAACTCGTCCATGCGCCTTGACGGTCTCGAATAATTGCGTACTATATTGGGAGGTGGGGAAATGTCGATGAAACACTTTGACTGCGTGGAGGAGCGTGGTTGGGTATGCTTTCAGAACAACTGCAACGGTAGGCACGTTTTCGGGAATATCAAGCGGTTTATCTCCGTCAATTGGCACCCGCGACGCGGATATTCCATCGACATCGCCATTGCCCTGGGATGATTTTCGTCCCCGGGTATGCCTACCACGCCGCCTAACTTTGTCCTTGAATTCGGGAAGCGACGCAATCCTCTCTCGATCGAGCATCCCTAACATTCCAAAAACCTTCTCTTCGCAGACCTGCCAAACGCCAACGTCACCTTTGCCCGCGGTCACAGCATCATCAAGCTCCTGGCAAATCTTCTTGGACTCCCGTTTCGCGATTAGTTTAGCAAGCGGGAACGGTTCAATGCCCACTATATCCATGTTCTCTTCCGAGGACGGACTGTCCCGAAATGCATGCAGCTTCGAGTAAACCTTTGAAAATTGGGGTGGTCCTTGCTCATGGCTATCGGGATTCGGGGTGATGGAAGCGGCGAGTTGTTCCGCATTTTCAACATTAGATTCTATATTTTCAGCCGGGATAACGCGCGGAGAGGGTTTATCCAAATCTTTTACGACGGAGCTAAAAATGGAGGTGATTTCGGCGGTTTCCTGGTCATTTAAAAGGCGATCGAGTACTTGTTTTTGCGAAAACGGCTGAACAGAACCCTCGGATTTTGAGAGCGCAGGTTCAGACTCCTCATTCAACTCTTGGAGACGACTAAATATCTCCCTTTCCGCAGCTGTCAGAGTAGAACCGGGGCGCGATGTCTTTGTTTTCCGCCTGGTGAGCTTCGACGCCCGGTGCTTTAAGTAGCTTGGAGGGTCTTCGGGTTCAGCAACAGCTTTGGGTTGCGGGATGGACTTTCCATCTGCGAGCGAAGAGGTTGAATAGCAACAAGCGCGACGAGAACACCGTGCTTGCGAGGGAAAGAATCGAGAACACTGCAACGGAGCAGTGATTGTGCGGGTGTTGTAAAGAAATGGCAGGAATATTCCGTCGTTGCAGATGTTCGTGAACCTGGAAGGGATCGCGCGACGCATTTTAACCAAGCTAGGCGCGGAAAGGGGGTGTCTGTGTCGTGAGCAGCTTTTCTCTCTTCCTCGCCGTTGAATCTCTCAAGTCAAAAAAAAGTCCAGATAGATGCAGAGCCTGTGTGCTGACTAATACAAGCTAACTACAATGACTAAGCAGTTTGCACATTACGGTCACGTGGTATCGTGACGTCCAACCTCGCGAGTTTTGCGCTGGACGCGATGCTGCACGGAGTGCGGTTCGTCGGATTGTTGACGGCTGGGCGACTTCCGACTGTTTACTAGCCTTTGCTTCGGGATCAATTGCGTCCAATCCGCAGGAACATGCCGCGCGTCAAGGATGAGCCAGAGCTCTCGGAGTTCGAGAAGCAGCGTGCAGCAAACATTGCTGAGCGCGATGCGCTGCTCAAAAAGCTAGCGCTTGAAGCCAAGTCGGCGGGCATATTTACCAAGCCCCCGGCCCCTAAATCGTCCTCCCAAACGAAGAAGAAACCTACACAAAAGCGAGTCAAAAAAGAAGATGAACCCCCCGTGCCGCGGCGAATGTCCTGCAGGCTCAGGGGTCTGACAGCGGATAGTGAAATTGCGAAGAGGAAAGCCGAGGAAGACTATGCAGCGCATAAAGCAGCTGTGGAAGCAAAGAGGCTACGAGTTTCTGGTGACTTGAACCTGGGGGATATTGTTGTGGGTGATCATAAATGGGATGGATTGCAAAGGGCTGGGCCCTGGTTCGACCCCACGGTATCAAAGGACATTTGGGAAAGAGGATGTCAAGAATACAACAGACAAAGGACTAAAAGCCCTAAGAGAAAAGATGAGTGGGCTGGAGCTGTGGGAACCCTGGGAGCCTAATCGTATGTTTCGGTCCCATGTTTCTACTCTGATGCGGAAGCTCTAACCGTCCTAGGAATCAAAATTACGCCGGAAAGGATATATTCGATGTTGTTCCATCCCACTGAATCAAAGCCATTGGTCTTTGCTGGTGATAAAGTAGGCAATCTGGGAATTTTGGATGCATCGCAAACCCCCGAAGAAAACGAAGAAGACGAAGAAGATGGCTATGCCGACCCAACAATTACAACGATAAAACCCCACTCGCGCACGATCAGTGCCATTTACATCCACCCTTCCGATTCATCAAAGCTCTATACAGCAAGTTATGACAGTTCTATTCGAGCTCTAGACCTAGAAAAATCTGTTGCAACCGAGGCATATGCCCCAGCCTCAATGTCTGACGATGAGCCATTATCCGGTGTAGATATGGCGCCAGGTGATCCTCACGTTCTCTATTTTACTACCTTGGACGGCTATTTTGGCCGACATGACGTGCGAGCGCCCAACAAATCCAACCCTGGGGGTAAAAGCGCTACCAGCCTCTATCAGCTCTCCGAAAAGAAAATTGGGGGCTTTTCACTATATCCAGCGCAACCTCACTACATTGCAACCGCATCATTGGACCGGACCATGAAAGTCTGGGACTTGCGCCAACTTTCTCTGAAACATCCCAAGCCTGTAGCTGAGCACACAAGCTCGCTTTCAGTTTCCCATGCTGCGTTCAACAGCAGGGGACAAATAGCCACGTCATCGTACGATAATACGCTCAAGGTATACGATTTGGGCGCCAAGGGTATCAAGGATTGGAAGCCAAACCACACGCTGTCCGACGACCTAGAACCTGACACTGTGATAAGACACAACTGCCAAACGGGAAAATGGGTCACAATGTAGGCGATCAAGCTCCGCTCACAACCCCCTCTAGTTGCTGATTATACTTCTAGTCTCCGTCCACAATGGCAAGCATTTCCAGATACTCCCGTTGAGCGATTCTGCATTGGTAATATGAATCGATTTGTGGATATATACACTTCAACAGGTGAACAGCTGGCTCAGCTAGGCGGAAATGGCCTGCTAACAGCAGTGCCTGCTGTTGCTGTTTTTCATCAAACTAAAAATTGGGTTGTTGGAGGCACAGGGAGTGGGAAGGCTTGTTTGTGGATGTGAAGAAGGTTGAACCCATTTTGTCATTCTATTTCTTGTAATAAAGAAACAATGCACTGTGTCAGGCACATGGAATTGGACCTAGAAACTCTGTTGGTCAGTGAGAATCACTTTTCGTTATCACGTTCCTGTGGCCTTAATGATTCTAGAGTACATATATTTCTAAATGGCAATAAACATATTTCGTTTAAAATCAGCGAGCAGCCCAGCTTCGTGAGCCTTAAAATACAATTCAAAGGTATCTACCATATATTGTATAAAGTAAATGCGCAAAATAACAAAAGATACCGGATATACTGTTGAGGAAATTGAGACTCTTCGGGTGGGCCATCGGAGGGCACCTTTTGCAGATCAAATCAATCGATGACTACCACTTCATGTTCCGAAGCAGACACTTCGCCTGTCAGTTTGTCATTATTGGGACCATTAGGTCCTCGCATGGGATCCAGAGGCACGACGACTCGAACGGAATTCGATGGTTTAGAAGTATCGTCTCCCGGCGTTGAAGATCCGGTACCACTTCACCCCCGTGATAATTCTTCCTCAAACCGATAGCGAGTTGTTGTCTTCACTACCGTTGTCGTCGTCTTCACGACGATCTCCGAAAGACGGCGTTTGCGCTTCTTATTTGTTGAAGTTCTCGCTGGCTCTACAACATCATTCAAGATTTGTTCATATGGCGGCGGCGGCGGCGGATTGTGGAGGCAAGCCTCACGGATTGACAGGCCCAAGGCCAGGGCTACCTGTCTCGCAACACTGTTTCCAACGATCTTCCACTGCGAAGAAGCCCGTCCGACCAGAACCTCTGAGTCTGGATATCCCTGAGCCCTGCGGGCTTCCATGACTGTCAGTAGACGGTTTTCGCGCCAGTGAAGCCACCGCCCGGTAAATTTGCAAGAGGGGGAGATATTGGTCGTAATGGTTGGTATTAATAGATGCGGATTAACCCTACTCCAGGCCCTGGACGATGCGGTTTTCCGTCTGAGACCTTCGTTTGGATATGGATCGTAATTCAGGTAGCCCTTGGCCATTGCGTCTGGTAGCCCCATTGCTCTCGGGTATTTGGGTATCTGGTCGATGATTGCTTGGGTATAGTGAGCCTCAGTACGGGAACTTCGATGGTCTGGCCAAGGTATTGACCTAACCTTTGCTCTCTGAAGATCTGGCAAGTCTCTCGTCCCTTCCAAGGAGGATACAAATTTGAAGATCGGAGTATCCCACCGCCTTTCACCAAAAGGCAGCCCGTTTGGTGCTTCACCTAGCGAACGCAACGTAGTGTTTTTAGGGTGCGAATGGGTCAATGGGGGATGATCTGGAAGTTCAAGCCCCGGTGCAGCAATGAGCAAAAACAACCTTGACCTGCTTTGGGGAGCCCCATAGCTCCACGCATCCAAGTGCATGAGCCGGAGTTGATAGCCCATTCCGACAAATGCGCAAATCAACTGGGACAGAGGGTTCCTTTTATGTGTCTTGCTTGCCATCGCTGGAACATTCTCAAGAATGGCGTAGTGCGGTCGATAGAAGTCAACATACGCGACAACCGAAGCGATCATGGATGAATTGCGCAGCGACATCTCACTCCATTTTTGGGGGTTTGCTAGCGAGTATCCCTGGCATGGGCTTCCTCCAGAAATAAATTCGACTTGTCCCAGTTTTGCGATAAGGTCAGACTTGTCTCCTTTGAGTGCCAGTGCCAGATAATCATTCACAGAGCCACGGAACAGCTTTAGGTCGTGTGAACTTTCATGGTTCGCACGGTAGGTCAGCATTTGATCCAATCCCCATTCAACCGCCCACTCGCTCCTGATTGCAGTGCCCTCCTCCAATCCTCTGTCAAAACTACCACCGCCACTGAATAAGTTGAGGGCGCGTAGTCTTCGTTTTGGCTCAAGGGGATCGAAACCGTGGGAAAAATTAGGAGGCGGGTCCATTGGGCATAGACCCTGGGTGCTGCTTTCTCTGCAGGTGATATAAAATGCACCCCCGTTCCCATCTCGATTGTATGGTGCAGGGATGGTGTTGCTGTCTCTCTGTTGTTCAGAATAGAAACGTATATAACAATGTCTCTTGATTTGTTCGAAGTGGACCAGGCGAAAGCGCTCAGTATAAACCAATTCATTCGGGCGATAGTTTCCACCAAAGTCGCGAGCTCGTCGAGGCAATACGCGAACCTTGACCTCATTGCCTTGGAAGTCAATAATCTCAGCAGGCTCTAAAAACTCGGATGTCTCAACCAAGACTGTATCACCAGGATTGTATGTTTCTTTTTCCTTCAGGCTGCCGTCTCTAGCTTTGACACATTGGCATTGGAAGTCGCTCTTTTGCAGAGTCATAAAAGTTTCATCCACAGAGTGGTAAGTCTGCCGAACAAAGAAGTCTGTATTGGCAGCCTTGTCAGAGAAGAATGTCACAGACACCTTTTTTACACCTTCAGCAACACCAATCCTTCCTATCACCCACAATTGCAATGGTCTGATAGAAAAGTTCATTGTGATGGGGGTATGTAAGGTCCGCGCAAACAGTATCTGTAGGCTTATATAGCCCAAATTAGGCAAAGACCTCGTGCTGAGATATTTTGCACAAGCGCGTACCAAAGGTTGTCTGTCCCCTTCCATCCTGATTCATTGTCTTTCTGGATTGCAACAATATCCCCTGGGGCAATTGGATATTTAGAGCGTGGGGCGATCTTCCTCTTAGTTGGGGTGAGCCCCATTCGATGGAGAAGAGCATGGCGTTTGGCAGCAATACTTGGGTCTATCTCTAGGGCTCGCAAGTAGGAACCCCAGGGCATTTTCTCGAAACACTTCTGGACATAAGGTGTTACAATTGTGAATTTGGTGTGTGATGGCTGCTCGGGAACAATTGGCGTTGCCGAAAGCCCCAGCTCGTCCCAGAGTGTATGTGCTCCATATTCAGGCCTGACATTCGCAGCCTGACCATACAGGAATGGGCCATACGCAACAATCGCCTGTCGAAAATCTGATTTCCCATAATCTTTGACCCAGGACCGAAAGCTCGAATCAAGGTGGTGGCGTTCCCAAAGCCAATCATGAAAGCGGACTTTGAAGTCGGCGAGAACAGCATGTTCATGTTGCATGTAATCGACCAGATGCTTTGCAAGGTTGGCAGCCCAAGTGAAACTGTCATGATATGCTTTGTATTCTCGAGAGGGCTTCCCAAGGCGATACCATATCCAGCCTTTATCTCGTTCGTGACAATAGGTCGATTGAATCCAGAGGTCCTCTCCGACCTCATGGGCGTCGACATCCTCGTAGACACCAATTGATACAAGGCTGAATGGGATATGTCGTAGATAAAATGTAGGGGTTTCCGCCTCTGTAGGCTTCAGAATCCCGTCGAAATAAAAGACCGCGTTTCCTTGCTTTGTCGCAACATTGTCTAGTGAAACCATGCCATATCTTTCTCTACTTGTAGCTTTGTCTGTATAAACAGTGAAATCCTCTAGCAAGAAGCTAGTGAATCCAGAGCCTCCATAGGTATCAACGCAGGAGAAATCGCGCTTGAGCTTGTTGATTGCGTGCTGTTCTGTGAATTCGGGACCGGGTGGCTCAAAGCCTTCAAAGGCTGAGGCATTCACAGTAGGCCTAGGGATAACAACGCCTAAAAGATTGCAATGCTGTGGTTCTTCATCACCCGGGCTGGTTGGTGACAGACTTGACATCACTCAATGTTCGCAGCAGATACGCGACTAAAACGACGCGTTTCCCCTGAGAACTCTGAAAACGAGGTTCGAAAGCAAACAGCAAAAAAAGAATAACTAGCGAAGGCCTCCAGTTGAAACCGCCGAGAAATACAACAAAAAGCAAAAAAAGGAAAAGAGACAGCAACAGAAGGGAGGAAGAATCTCTGCGGGTCGAGGTGGCATGTCGAGGCGAAGGTGGTGCTTTTGTGTTGGTGGTTTTTACGCGGTTCTTCGTGACCGGGCGATCTGTTCAGGGCCAACGCGATCGATACAGTATATCGGCTCCGAAACTACATATGGTGGACGTTTTGATCTACACTCTTTTCCTTTTCTACTTGAAGCAGTGCGTGGATCATGCAATAATAACTCTAGGAAAACAATATCTTTTCATCATAAAAAGCTACCAGATGGACACAAAATCACCGCCTATCTCGACCGGACTCGAGCTAATGATACAGCACACACACCCTCACGAGAAGCCAAGGGGAAGCAATGAAATCGGCAAAGTCATGAAATGTCAAGCCCTAGCCCTTCACCGCTGGGTATCCAACACCTCAGAAATGCACCAATCTCCAAAGAATGAGAAATGATAAGGGGATGGGGTTTTATTGCGAGTCAGCATCCAACAGCTGTCCTCCCGCCTTTTCCAGGGAATGATGAAACCAAATATGTGCATGAATCACAGAAACAGAACAGAGCAGAACGCAGACAGCAGAAAATACAACTTTGCACATGCGTAATAAATGGGAAGGGGCATCAACAAATGTTCCTCGCCAAAAGAATAAAACCCAAGAAATGGAGAATGTAGTGTTTCGTAAATCATTCTGTAAGCTATCTTTGGACCGGTTATACCAGGCTTGAATGTCATATATATTCGTCGCGAGGGCCGAGGTCTGATGGGAGAGGTTGCTGTCCTTCTTTATCTTTGCCCTTGCGTCTAGAGTTCCCAACAAGGTCGAACAGCCGATACTTGGCAGACGATTCCTTTGTGATGCTGGATTGACGGCCTTTTTGTTGGTCAGGGTATTCTAACGAATACGTGGAGGAGTTATGAGGGCTATCGACGCTCTCTCTTTCCGAGTACTTGGGCGTCATGAATTTGGGCCGCCCCGGATCCCATGTAGCCGATGGCGCGCTCGAACGTGTTTCATAGTCAGCTTCGTCGCTTCCGTTGCTTGTATCGGTATTCCTATGTTGGAAAGGAGGTCTGGAAAAGTACCCAATAGAGTTTCTATTGTTTCCTGACATTGCTGCAACATTTGACATCGCCGTCTCTATAGAGGGAGTGTTGGCCTTGCTCGAGCTTTCGTCGTAGAATGTGCTTGACCTCTCAAACTGCTCCACAAGCTCTTCCCATTTGACCTCAAGGTTTCCATTCGGACGCTCAGCTTGCTCGGCTCTGTTTAAGCAATCCTTCGTGCGTTGTTGGACTTGAAGGCATAGGTTATGGAACTGAATTACGTTTTCATCTACGTCTGGCATGGAAGTCAGGTTTAACGGTGCTGACTCGAGCCATAAGCGCACTAAAAATGCAAAGCTTCTCGTATTGTCGATTAAGAACGGAAGGCTTGGAAATCCTTCTCGGGACGTTGGCGGTAGGCGGTTCAAAATCTGTATCGGCGTGGCGTATGATGGGTTGACGATTTGGGCTGGGCGTTCTGCTGGTATGGAACAAATGGAATCCACAAATTCCTTGAACTCGTTGCGGTGTGACAAGAGGAATTTATTCATCGGCTCCATCCATGGTTCTTTGTTCCCGAAAGTGGCTAGATTGGCTAAGCCTTGCAAAGCTTTTGCGATGAGGGTTAATGTTCGTTGAGCGCGCTGGCGGGGATGCTCTTTAGATAAACATTAGTTTCACAATATCAATTAGGCTAAAGTGGGATTGTTTGCGACAGACCTTTAAGCAAGCCGAACAGCTTCGGGTTCAATATCGCAGGGCAAAAAAACCGGAGAAATAGAAATCCGGAAACACTGCTATACGCGACTGAGCGTAGGAAATCACCATAGCGATCCTCCGCACAGGCTCTGATATGCCGGAAAATGTGCCTCAACTCAGGGGGGCAACGAGACGCAGACCCAGCTATAGATTTCCACATATTGCTTGTCAAGAGAACCAAATTACGCCAGTTGCGCTCCAGATCCTCTGGCCGGCTCACTCTGTTGGGGTCAATCTCGCAGTCAGGGTCGCTTTCGTCAATGTCCCGTAGCCCGGCTCCAATGGTTTCTTCTAGGTATTCCTTTCCCAATCGACGCATATGCATATCCAACGATTTTGTCAGAAGTGAGTTACCTCGGAAGAGTAAGTTGGCTTCAACAGTAGCTGACCTGCCCAAATCACGCACCAGTGCTTCTCTTTCCTGGGTTGACTCATACGAGTCGTTTGAGTGGATGCGGCTGCGACTGGTATATCTCAATCGGCTTGCGGACGAATCCCTATGGATTCCATCTATTTCATCTTCCACAAGGGCCATGATCCATTCCCCTGCATGTCCTGAGACCTGGAATATGTCTAGGAAAGTTCCCGCGAAGTGGCGTAGTTCGCGGGGAACAAGTTGAGAAAGGTTGACTGTAAGGCCATTGGAAAACGAGTGAAGTAGTTCCGACATCGCCTCGTACTCTTTTGACACTAAAACAACTGTCTCATCGAGCTGAACCCTCATTAACATCTCCCCCACCTGTTGATCATGGTCGTCCAAAATTGGCCACCATTTTTCTGACCCTGAGTCACGCTCCAGGTCTTCCAGGCGCAAGTCAATTCTGCCGTAGGTCGCGTCATGGGAAGCAATCTCAACATCACCTATCATCGCCAGTGGGTCGCTGCTAACGTCCTCAAGAGAATACGGCCGTCGGGATATAAGTGTCCAGTCTTTTTGGGCAGAATTCAAAGTTTTAACCACTACAGATGCATTTGACAAAACAGGCGGCAAATCATGGAAAGTAAAATCCTCTCGCCAAAAAGGAACCGAAGTGTCTGCCTTAGCAGCCGTCTTCGCTCGAACCTCTCCGTCAAGTAGGACTTCAGCATAGTAATCACCGGGCATACGCGTTCTCGATTGACGTGGTTGAGGCTTAATGACCTTTTTCGGCTTCGAGGAATCTGCAGGCTCCTGGGTTGATTGCACCATTTTAGCTTCAAGTATTCGGATTGATAGAAGTCGTTCAATGCGAAACATGTCGATAGTTGGGGTTGCGCCAGAAACCGATAGGCCATGGTCACGAGCTGAATCGTCATTTGGCGAAAGCTGTTCGGGGCCGTATAGTTCCGGTATCGTGAATGCGCGTAACAAAACAAACCAAACTTCGAACAAGATACGATTTTCAAGCGAGAGATAGATGGGGCGGCTCAATTGGTCTCCTCCGGCATGGACGAAATACTGTGGGTATATAGCAATGCAGAATTCATCCTGCAAGACTGATGGTTCCAGTTGCTGGATAGCGCATCGGGAAAGCTGTGACAACTGTATAAACGCGATGAGAGTCACATCACTTTCCATGAAAATCTTCATATGACCGTTCTCCTGTAATGAACAGCTAACCTTTCGCCATGAGTGAGATAGAGCTCGCTGCTGTTTAAAGGTCGATATTCGTTTAGGTGTCGGAGATGGGGGAAGGCCGGAGGCAGTTTGTTTGTCCCAGAGAAGCATTTGTCCAACCTTGATTATGGCCGCTTCTTTTTGGATTGTGCTCTCGGAATTTCGTCTGCGCTCAGGAAAACGATGATGGTTGCCAATTGCAACTGACTGTGGCTTCGTCATTTTATTTTGGACTCCTTTTGGGCGGATTGGTTGCCAGCAAAGGAGCGCAGCTAACCAAGAATCAAATGTCTCGATTACATGGGGTCTCAAATGAACTCCGAGGGTGGAAGAGTGGGTTGATACACTAAGATATGTCCCTTGTACTTCCGTGTCGTAAAGCGTTCGTACTCGACACCCTCGAAGGTCGGGTATTAGCGTTTTGGCTGCGGCTGGTTCTCCCTTGGCTTGATAGATAAGACTTCCACTAGCAACGTTTATTGCACAATATCCCGAAGTCCACGAGGTACTACCAGAAGTACGAAAAGAGAGGATGCCGTGCATCCTGCCGTTTGTTGTTTTCATTAATTGTAAAATTTTAGAGGAGTCAGAATTCGATATAGGCGATCCGTATGACGATGAGCGTGAAGCATTGGCCACAAGTGAAGCACCGCCTAATGGCGGTTTACTTAATCTATGTCGTTGGGCGGGTGATTGAATGATTGACGGATATCCGATTGACGGAACTGAATCATCAGATCCTTTCGGCGCGGGCGACCCCACATTGATAGAACCCAGCCTTGTTCGCCGTTTTGATAAAAAGTTCGGGGATATTTCGCTTCGCTGGTCGTCTAAGGTTGTCCTCGACCTAGCTCTAAGGGTTTTAGGCCCAATTGCCGCATCCTCTTCGTCACCCGCAGAGAAATAGGGATTGGGCTCCTGTCGTCGGGGCCGGGGTTTGACACGAAGGGTGGCATGCGGCGACATGTACTCCGCGTCAGACATTGGGGAGTTATTTGCACGGTCAGACATCGAATCAGGCGTGACAGTTCTGATAGTAGTGTCACGAAAACTTTCGGGATAAACGACTCCGTGTCGGTCTTTGGAGGAGGACTTTTTACTCGGGCGTCGTTCAATTGGTCGAGTATAAAAGTCCTGACGCTCCGGGTCTCTTTTAAAACCATTACGACGCTCTGGCTCCATTTTGAGGCGTTATCAGGGTCAACATAGCAGTCGAGTCCTGGTTGTTGTTTCAAGGGCTGTATTGTGTTGAATGCCCGAATTCGAGCAATATAGGCGAAACTAACACAAGTTTAGAAAGGTCGAGGCGCGTAATTCTGACCGTTGCGCCCAAATGACGTCCAGATGCACAGGGCAAGCAAAACCACGCTCGGCCGTTCTATTGACAGGAAGATAGGTAATATAGTACGGGCAAAACGAAGGGTAGCGGAAACGTTGTTGGACAGTAGATTACTGATCGATGCAATCTATAGTGAGTGGCATGCTTGTCAGCTGGAAAAAGGACCACGGGATGTGTTGTTTGTTATCTGGGACGGGAGCATCAAGATCGAGCTCGAAAAACGCCCGCAGAGCATTGATAAACAGACGCATGGTATAGAATGGAGCCTACCTTCAAAAAGGTCCAGAGATCTCAACTTATTGCATTGCACATTGCCCATCGAAAACAGAATGACGCGACGTTTCAGAAGACATGAGCTACCCTCACCGAAGGCAATAGTTAATGAGATATCAAATGCAACACAAACACTGATAGAAGAGGCCGTTTGCTCCGTAGATGGCGTGGAAAGAAGTCGACCTCCAGCAAGAAACGAAGATAGGCATTGGCACTCCTTAGTGGGTGACGGGTTGCGGAGATCAACCAAGGCTGCGATTTTGGTTTCTTTCCACGTTTTTGATGGTGGAGAGACGTCCCAAGAAAGCGATCATCCGAATTGCCTCTTTGAGTGGATGTGAGTGTCGGCTTATGTCAGGAAGGCGCTAGGCCCGACCAGGTAAAGCGGAATTACAAGCGGGTGCCAGGGGGTGCGGCGATTGGCTGGGCGCACGTAATTCATCGTTCTGTCGGTAACCGGACGGTATTCTTGGCATTGGACCCGATCCCTTGCAGGTACCCCTCTCTGGACTCGAGGGGAGGGGTGCAGGTGAGATTCGCAGGAAGCACGGAGTTCGTTCCACTGCGAGCTAAGACGCTGTTACGGGCATATTTGCAATTCCATCTTGACAAGCCAGATGAAATTATGAGACTGGAGAATGTTAGGTGCCAGGGTACATCCGGTAGTTCGCTCGAGTTACCACGGTTACGTAAGCTACAACAGCAGGACGCTAAGCTTTCTTTGGCTAGTCTATCGGTCCCGGAATTTCCTTGCCCCGATGGCCCTCTCAGCGCAAGCTTGGCGTAGTTGAGCTCAAAGAGTCGAGAAGACATGAGCTTCCAAAGAATGCAGAACTTGTGATAAGGCTTGTTTGTCTAGTTGCTCCTGGCCTTTGGTACGCTGTGTTGCTTTTTCAATCAACTGCTTTTTCCTGTTTGCCAGTCCAGGTGCCGAGACGGTCATTCGCCTGGTCGCCTGACTCTCCGCACCAGGTCATCCATCCTCTACGGCGATTTCCACATATCGGACCGCCCGTGCAGAGTACTGGAACAAACAATGTCAAAGATATAGCCGACAGATCCTCAAGGAAGAGATGATTTGAAGTCCCAGATACTCACTGACTGCCTGGCAGTGCTTTACTTGGGGATTTCGAGCCTATCCCAACATGACATCACAGCTCTTAACCCGCTTCCTACCCATCAATAGTTCCACGTCCCCATCGATATACGAAACCATCCGACAATATGATGACGAATCCGGGCCGTCGGATACTGAGGAACGAGCCGCTATGGCTATAGATGAAGAGAATTTAGGCGAGCGTTACCAAGACTACGAGCTAGAGGATGCTCTAGCCCAAGTTTCGGATACACAGTCAACCCGCAGTAGCAATTTCCAGTCTGCGGCAGCAGGGAAGTCTCAGTCGCCGCGCACGCCGCAATGGAGACGGGCTTCACGGGCTAATGTAGAGGACGACGACGACGACGAAGTCCCGGCCTCTCTGCTCGTTGAAGGCGATGGAGATGAGGAGCCCCTCCCTCCCCCGCCTCAACCCCCTGCAAATCACAATAGGATGCTCAATGATGAGCCAGCCTCCGGATACCCAAACCCACGATTACGCAGCCAGTGGGAAGCTACACGGGAACACGAGCCCATTCATCCCGAACGCGCACCACCGATTCCCCTCAATCTGCGTGCAAATAGAAGAACTGGGCTAGCATTTGCTAACCCGAAAGAAAAGGCCATGTGGAGATGGGCCAACGTGGAGAATTTGGACAACTTTTTAAAGGAAGTGTACCTGTATTTCATTGGCAACGGAATTTGGTGTATCGTTCTGAGCCGAGTCTTAAACATCTTGTAAGCGGGATCATGACCCTTGGTTGGGGCTTTGTGATAGACGCACTAACTGGAACACGCAGAACTTTGGCCTTCGTTGTTGGGTTTACAATCTTCCTAACAAACTGTATCGATTATGGGAAAATACCCCATAGCAAGACATCCGCTGAGATTATCATCCCTAAATGCACCAACAAAATGTCAGCCACGTCCACTTTCCTCCTCTGGTTGTTTACGCTATTTTGGTTTGGAAAAATCTTCCAGTATATCTTAGACTTCAGGCGTCTCCGGCATATGCACGATTTCTATCTCTATCTTTTAGACGTTCCCGATTCCGATATACAAACGATATCATGGCAAGAGGTGGTTGGTAGAATCATGGCCTTGCGAGATGCCAACCCGGCGACTGCTGGGACCGTGTCTACGAAGCATCGCAAATATATCGGGAGCCAGTCAAAACAACGCATGGACGCCCACGACATCGCGAACCGCCTTATGAGGAAAGAAAACTATCTCATTGCCCTTTTCAACAAAGAGATATTAAACTTAACACTGCCCGTTCCGTTTCTTCGAAATCGCCAGCTATTTTCCCGCACACTAGAATGGAATCTTAACTTGTGCATCATTGACTATCTCTTCAATGAACAAGGCCAGCTACGACCGCTTTTTCTTAAAGCGACCCATAGGAGAGCTTTGAGCGAAGGTCTACGGCGTCGCTTTATCTTTGCCGGAATAATGAATATTTTTATCGCACCATTTATCGTCACCTACTTTCTAATGCATTATTTTTTCAGCTATTTCAATGAGTATCAAAAGAACCCCTCCAAAATTGGCTCCCGCCAATATACCCCTCTCGCGGAATGGAAATTTCGCGAGTTCAATGAACTCTGGCACCTCTTCGAACGCCGAATTAATCTATCATATGAATCAGCAAATTTGTATGTCGATCAATTCCCGAAAGATAAGACTGTGCAGTTGTCGCGCTTTGTGGCTTTTATTGCTGGAGCACTTCTTTCTGTACTTGCATTAGCTTCCGTCATAGACCCTGAATTATTCTTGGGGTTTGAAATCACCCATGATCGGACGGCGCTGTTCTATATTGGAGTTTTCGGTACTGTGTATGCTGTTGCACGTGGAGTTGTACCGGACGAAACCCAGGTCTTTGATCCAGAGCATGCGCTCTTGAACGTGACATCGTATACCCACTATAAACCAGCTCACTGGCAAGGGAAGCTCCATAGCGATGACGTGAGAAAGGAATTTGCTACCCTCTACCAGCTCAAAGTGGTAATCTTCCTTGAAGAAATCCTGAGTATGATATTCACTCCCTTCGTACTGTGGTTTAGCCTCCCTAAATGCAGCGACCGTTTGATCGACTTTTTTAGGGAATTTACAGTTCACGTTGATGGCCTTGGATATGTTTGTTCGTTTGCTGTCTTTGACTTCAAGAAAGGCACCAATTTGATGCCTCCGGAGACTCACCACCATCAGCACCATCTTGGTCACCAGCGCCCAAGGGGATTTAAACCTGGCGCGCATGATTTGCGGGATGACTACTTCTCCGCCAAAGACGGGAAGATGCTTGCATCTTATTACGGCTTCCTTGACCACTACGCTGGGCCTCCGCGTCCAAGTGGACATCACGCTTCCCCACAGCAGAATTATCGCCAACAGCCAGCCTCTGGCCCAGCTGGCCGGCCTCAAACTGGAGCAAATATCTATTCAAGCCGCATGGATCGTTGGGACCATGGCCAGCCACAACAATCCGTCCTTCGCACGCCTCGGTTCGGGCCCGCAGAAGGGGCCGGTGGGCATACTTCTCCCATGGCATCGATGTTACTAGATCCTCATCATCAGCCCTCCATGTCCAGCTTTCGATCTAAACCACATCCCGCAGCGGCGTCCCGCTACCGACCATCCCGCCAAGCGCAACCGCTGGCTGACACAATCCAAGATGTTGATGAGGACCAGCTTCCTGCCACTGGTACGCAGCCTTTGGACATGACTACTACTTCGAGCGGTGAGCCCGTTACGGGTGATAGTCAAGTAGAAGAATCGTGGCGAATGAATTTGGCGGACGATGCTGACGGTGGTGAGAACGACGAAGCTGAAGATGTGGAAGCAGTTGTGGGTGGCGGTGGTGTATTAGGCCTGATCCACCAATTCCAGAAAGTCACGAATGAAGGACGGGGGGCTGTTGGGATCTGACGCTTTCACGGTTGACTTGAACCTGCAACGCTGCACACATTTGCTGCGTTGCTACAGGGCGCCCGGTTCTATAGCGAATCAAAGGGTGACATAATTGGGTTGGGTTAGGGATTGATATAAGCGCATATATACAAGTCCTTGCTAGAATTATTTCAATGATGCTCTGTTCATAGGTTCTGATTAGTCAACAATATATATTCAAACATCCACATTAACCCCGTATTCTGCTTATGTCAGCACACCCCTGCAGCCCGTCCGGGATGAAGATGCTGGTCAGTCTGTCCTCTGAGGTTGCAGCTCAACCAGACCCCAAGCCTGATCGAGATTTTCGCTGGAGGAACTTGCCATTGTCACGAATCCTACTCCGTACTGTGCTGCGCAATGGTCCGAATTGACGCAGTACCTCCTGCTGCTCACTACCTATCTGTTTGAGACTGTTTACCCTTGACTGGGTCGGCTCGTCTGCCAAAGATGCCCCGTCTCCGCAGATACCGTGTATTCCTGGTGTTTGCCGTTGTCAGCATCATTGCTTTCATCCGGTTTACTGGAATCCGAGAATGGCGGCCTCCGAACCAAAATTACCACCCGACAGCGGAACAAAAGGCACCTGCACCTCCAGCAGCACCTCCGCCGCAGCCGCCCGATCGCAAGGCGACGGCTCAACGCCAGCCGACATCGCCAGTCAAGGCTAAATCTACTCCGACAGCTTCCAGTGAGAAGGCAGCAGCGAAGCCGCCAGCCATACCTCCTGCGAAATCGCCGGCTCCGACGACCCCTGCTGTGGTGGCACCTCTACCTGGGACCGATATCGAATTTGGACCTGGTGGACAAGGGCGGTTGGAGGTGCCCGGATTGGATCGCAGCAGCGTGCGGTGGCAGAAGCAACGCGAGCATTTCCCCGTGCCCACTTCGAGTGTTATCAAACTCCCAAAGGGGAAACCAAAGAACATCCCCCAAATTCAGTTTAAATTTCCTTCGGAGTCGCCAAGTACTCGGACGATTCGTGCGAAGAGGCTGGCATTGATCAAAGCGTCGTTTAAACGCTCCTGGAACGGATACAAGGCACATGCCTGGGGCCGGGATGAACTGAAACCCGTCTACGGTGGTGCTCGGGACCCCTTCATGGGATGGGGGGCCACGCTGGTTGATGGGCTGGATACTCTCTGGATCATGGACATGCGAAAGGAATTTGCGGAAGCGGTGAAGGCCGTCGAGCGAATTGACTTCAAAACTAGCCACCGGAAAGATATTCCGTTGTTCGAAACTGTTATCCGTTATCTGGGAGGCCTGCTTGGGGCGTACGATATCTCCGAAGGGAGGTTTCCAACTTTGGTCGACAAGGCAACTGAGCTCGCAGAAATCCTGATAGGTGCATTTGACACGCCAAATCGAATGCCGCTTACCTATTATATGTGGGCACCGTAAGTGCCAACCTGCTATTCTAAATGAGCTTCTTACATACTTAACAGTTTGCAGGACATATGCGTCACAGCCCCATCGGGGAAGTACCCGAGTTGTTCTCGCTGAACTTGGCTCTCTATCCATGGAATTCACCAGACTTGCGCAGTTGACCGGGGAAAATAAGTATTACGATGCCATTGCTAGGATCACGAATGAACTTGAGAAATTTCAGCCTAATACTACACTTCCGGGCTTATGGCCCTCGCATATTGATGTGTCTGGGTGCCAGAAAGCTGTCACACCCGCAAGTGGAATTGAAGAGTCAGACGGTTCGGTGAAAATGCCTCCAGTAATACCCAAGCCCAACGTACCCCCAAAAGCCATCTACAAACGGCAAGAGGCGGCTCCCAAGGCTGTGCAGGATACGCAACCGGCGGTTTACGACTCACAGCCGAAGCCTGCCCAAAACGTCGATCCACGTGGCCTAGATGCAACTGACTGTGCAGAGCAAGGGCTCAGATCACCGCCATTCTCGCGAGTGGATAGATATACGCTGGGTGCGCTAGCAGATTCAACGTACGAATACCTGCCGAAAATGCATCTCCTCATTGGCGGCCTCAGTGACCAGTATCGCAACATGTATAAAATGGCAATGGACACCGTCAGGAATTATATGCTTTTCAGGCCAATGTTACCGGATAACCGTGACGTCTTGTTCCATGCCGGAATCACTTCAAGTGGGCCGCCAGAAAAGAAATCAGACTTGAGTTACGAATATGAAGGTCACCACCTTGGGTGTTTTGCTGGCGGAATGTTCGCACTCGGTGCAAAGCTCTTCGGGATTGACGGCGATATGGATTTGGCCGCAAAATTGACTGAAGGGTGTGTCTGGGCATACAATGCCACCAAGACGGGTGTTATGCCCGAAAGCTTTGAGGTTCTCCCCTGCGATGATCCTGCACACTGCGAGTGGAATGTGACGCGATACTATGACAAGCTCGACCCTTATGAAGAAGAAAGAAAGCTCCGAGTGCAGACATGGCTTGAACAAAAGGCTGAACTGGAAAAGGCCGAAAAGGCAGCGAAAGACAAGGAAAGGATGGCACCCGTAGCCGAAGCAACTGCGGAACTCCCAATAGCCACTGGGCCGATTATACTTACCAAACGGCACAACGCCATGCCAGATGACCCTTCACGCATCGACGGCATGGACAATCCATTCCCCGATTTCCTCGGACCCAAGCCCACTTTTTCTCCGCACAAGGAATATGCGGAACAGCGGCTCAAAGAGGAACGTATTCCGTTTGGAATGACCGATATCATGTCGCGCAAATATATTCTCCGACCAGAAGCTATTGAGTCAGTATTCTACATGTACCGAACCACAGGCGATGAGTCATGGAGAGAAAAAGGTTGGGCTATGTTCCAGGCGGTCGAGCTGGCCACGAGGACCGAGCTCGGTAGTTCCGCGATCAAGGACGTTATGAGTGACGTGCCAATGCCTCTGAATGAAATGGAATCTTTCTGGCTTGGGGAAACGCTAAAGTACTTTTACCTCCTTTTCAGTGATCCTGAAGAAATCAGCTTGGATGAATATGTTTTGTAAGTCGACTCGCCTCCATTTTCCCCTCGAAGAGGTCGGTGTGGACTAACAGCCTCTATAGCAACACTGAGGCGCATCCTTTCAAGCTCCCGTTGAACTATAAACCCTCTTGAACATTATTATCACCGCGGCAGATGTATATATTAGATGCCGTTCTTCTTGGCGAGACAGTTTTCCATTAGGCATCGTAGTGGGATTTGACAGCAGGCTTAGTTGATACCCAGGTGTGCCGCAGGATCTATTAGCAGTTTCTAGCTTTCTGGCTGTGTTGTTGCCCGCGTCTGAGAGTCTCTGGTGGGCATTGGTTAAGGGCTATTTGTGTTGTATAGTTTGGAACGGATTAGGCATATACCGTAAACCCATGGGAATGAGATTGAATATATGCGTCGTACGGGTCTTCGAAGACGTCAATAATGCCTGAGCACCCCGTCTCTCCTCATTGTGACATCAGTTGGTAGGGATGTTAGCGCTTGAACAGTCCGTGGCTTTGACTTTGTATTTCACGGCCGCCGCTTGCCCACTCCAACCCTGGCAATCCGCTTTGTTCTTCACAGGTACAGCTACAGATCAAACAACAGACAGATAACTACATTACTTTCGACGGCTGGAGGGGCCAACAGAAGAGTCACCAGCAATGCATGAGTTTAGGAATGGACCTTGAAGTTTCTCTCAGTCTGGAAAATGAGCATCAATTCTGGGACGGTAAGTCGACTCGCTCTGTTGCCGAATAGCTTTCTTGTCTTCGAATTGCGCGCCCGCCAGTTTGGTTCTTTCATGCGTTTGCAGATTGCATCCGTGGTCGAAATGCAGCTAATCGGACTTCTCGTTGTTGGGACAGAATTGGACCGCGTTCTTCACAACCCGTGCGATTCCCATGCGGCGATCGATAACGTCCTCCGGGCATATCTGGAGTTAACGACGAGGTACACTGGTATGGAGGCCCTCCTTGGGGTTTCGCTCTTTTCGCGCAAGTACTGATCCGGGCCAATTCGAATAGAGGATTTCCTCCGCCTCGACCAATATCTCTCCCGCTGCTCTGAGCGCTTGCTCGGCTCAGAACTATTTGCTGAGAATGCAGACTATATACGACGGCAAATAATACACAGTTTACTCCAGGTATGGGTTTCCTGGTACCCTTATGGAATTGGGTGCGAAAGTCGTTCTCACGTCATACGCAGGAAGACGACCCCGGTGTCCTCCTTGTCATCGTGTCCCTCCTCCTCGTCGATGGCCGCCGAGATGAGATTACGTTTGAAATGATGAATGGCGAGAGCGCGTTCGCGCGGCTACTCGAGCTTATACAATGTCCGCGAAATGGCGCTGGTGGAGATGGAGCTGGCCTTCATCGATCGTTGATGGACTTATTTTATGAGATGTCGAGAATTCAAAAGATAAGTATTGAAGATCTGAGTAAGTCTCTGGGCATATTAACCACGATGATTCTCCTGCTTTGTGCGAATAGGACTTTAACCTACTGGAATGCAGTCCTCGTCGACGATGACTTTGTGAAGTTCTTGTTTGGCATTATTGAGGAGGTTTCTAATGATGTGGATGACCCATATCATTACCCGGTGATCAGGGTCCTGGTGAGAAGACCTAAGTCAACGGGTCGATACCGATGCTAACATCAGTTTGCCAGCTGGTACTCAACGAGCAGTTCATGGTTTCTGCTCACGACCCTACGACAGAGCAGCCGTCCGTAACTCCGCCAACCAACAAAGTTATCAAGATCCTATCGATGTATGGGAGCGTCTACAAAACGTTTGGCGAAAATATAATTCTCCTACTGAATCGCGAGAGTATGTTTTCAAATCGTTCCCTAGGTGGTCAGCTTTTTTGGTTACTAACTGGACATCAGACGAAACTTCACTTCAACTTCTCACACTCAAGCTTCTATATCTCCTCTTTACCACGCCTCCTACCTATGAATATTTTTATACTAATGATCTCCGAGTTCTCGTCGATATATTGATCCGTAATCTCTTAGACCTCCCAGAAGAAGCCTCGGCCCTTCGTCATACGTACCTTCGCGTTCTTCACCCATTATTGTCTCATACGCAGCTGAAAAACCCACCTCATTATAAGCGCGACGAACTACGGAAACTGTTTGCAATCCTCATTAGGGATCGGATTGCTGGTTACGAAGATGAATATGAAAAGATCCTTCATTTTGACGAAGTCGACGAAACGACCAAGAGATTGGTTCTGCGGTGCGCGCAGGTCGATTGGCTAATTGAGCCGGATGGAGGGTCGCCAACGAAGTCGCCATCAATCGATACTTACGCTGGGGCCCAGGAGGCTCAACCCGACGGGGAAGCTAAGGCGAAGGCTGACGATAACCCATCGTCAGTAAGATCATCTCTCACGACTAATCTGCTCAAACGCACCTCCTCAGAATCTCTATCGCTTCTCGATCAAACGCGAGTCGAATTTGCAGGAACAAATCTAGAGCCATCGCGCTCTTCGTCTATAAGCATGGCAGATATGGCCACGCAGAGGGAAAAGCCAGGAGTCATGATGCCACGGAGAAGCCATGGTGGCCATGGATTGCTTAAACAAAAGCCGGAGCCACCAAAGGCAAGGGGTTGGCGAGGACGCAGACGGGAAGAGCAAGACTACAAAGAATCACCTTCTGGACCAAATCAACTTCGTTCAAAACCATCGATCATCCGCCTTGAATCCGAGCCGCCAACTTGCCATGTAACGAGCATCGATGCACAATCTCCGTCGCCGGGAGGCACAACACCCGATACCGATTCCGCGATATCAGTACCTAAGCCTCGTGCCCATCCTTCCTCTCTCCATCCACCAGCCGTACCTCCACCGCGTCGGTCCTCTCATTCTGTTCCTCCTCCCTCGATCCTGGGTGACATGCATCCCCATTCGCCATTACCTCCTACCCCTCCTAACCATCAGCATCACCATTCTCACCCTAAAGCACAGCTCTCCAGCAAATCCAGTTGCCAGAGTCATCCGCAGAAACCTGAACCGCCCAAAACTCGTCGTTGGCGCGCCCATTTACATGCTCACTCGGCTGCGGAGAAGAAGAGTAGATGCGGAACACCGCAAAGTGTTGAAAATGATACTGTGACACCCGGGAGCTTCTCGCGTGAATCTTCTCTCTCTAATCAGTCCGGATCGGGGGACCTTCCCAGCATAGGTAGCATCGCCGATATAGAGAAAAAGGTTTCCGTATAGAAGGGGAGAGCATGAGGGTAGGCTATCCATGTATATTGGAAAGAATGAATGAAAGAATTCTATTCAAATATAGAAATGTCTCTCATATGTGGCCACATGGTTTTTACGTTGAAATATCCAGCCATCTATCCCAGTTCCTAGTGGTTAAATCTAGAGTTGGTCTGAAATGACCAGTATTGTAATTCCGCAAGTGAACAAGCTGAGCTAGATGGTAAAGGATTGTCCTCCCCCTTGTTCCCCTCTTTTCAATATTTCACTCTCGTCAATGTGATAAGGCACAAAAAGTCAAGTCAGCCTCGCATCTCCCCTTTGATAAACCTCATCATTCAGTCAACCTCACTTGACTTTAGTCTTCGATGCCCCAATACTTCTCCGTTCCAAAAGAACCCTGGAAGTCATCCTTCCATTTATCATTGAATGCAGAGAAAAGAAACAACTGTCCATTCTTGCCTTTAAAACCATCCCTGAGGCTCTTTACCGCGATCGCCTGGTTCTGGTCCGACGGCACTGCCACACCATTGGTCCCACCAGCAGACGGCCATCCAGATTCGGTGATGATGGTGGTCTTACCACCTGCAGTGGAAGAAACCAGCGCGGCTTGCTTGAGCGCAAAAGCACCGGCCTCGTGGGCTCTGGTTTTGCTAGAGTAAAAGGCATGCGCATTTGCACCACAAAAGTCTGACGCACGACACAGTTGAGGGTGCTTGATCAGTGTGTTGGAAGTGTCCACGGTTACCACCGGTCCGTGGTAGCCTGCTGCTCGAAGAATGCCACGCGCTTTATTGATGGCATTGACAACTTGGCCTGGTGAGTTGGCGCGTTTGTTGACCAATTCGTTTCCAATGCTCACAGCCGCGATGCTTGACCAGGAACCTTTGGCGGCGCGGATTAGGGTTTGTAACTCCGTATCAAGGCGCTGCAGGCTAAAGATGCCGGCGAAGATTTTTATACCGTATTGCTTAGAAGCCGCCATGACCATTGAAACCTGATTACACTCGACGCCATATAGGCGGATCGTCGAGTATTTCCGGAGTCGAGCAACGTCTGAGTTAATAGCTTGCTGTGACTTGCATTTCCGATCTGCGGTAAATGGAGAATAACAGATACCCACGCCCGTAAAGAATGCCGCCGTAGACCGTTCTTGAACAGTCTCTAAGCCATGGGTAGCTGTCCCAGCGTCAGGGAGCCCTGGGTCAGGAAACTTGTTTCCGCGAGGGGCTGGATGCGTGGTCGACTGAGACACAGTCTTGCTAATAGGAGGGAAAGGAAGAATAGTAAATGTTGGCTCTTTTTCTTTAAATGTCAGCCTCTAGAGACCTCTAAAAATGGTATCCACGTCTTACCATGTTCTGAGAGCGCAGTGCCGAAAAGAAACGCAGAAAGGGCGAGAAACGCCACGAACTTCGCCATAGTTGAACCTGGTATAAGGACACAAGTTCGAGAGGTTATGTCTACGAACATTGAGACTCGGTTAGCCATGCTCATCTCATGTAATTGGAAATGGGCATTTAGTTCTCTGGGTACAGCCTCTCCTTGACAGAAAGCTAACAAGCATAGCAATGAGCATGTGAGCAAAGCTCTATGCATCAAACCCATGTGAACAGGAAGAAAGTAACCTACCTTCAGCTCGCCAGAGTTGTTGATCATGACAGGGAGAGAATGGGGCACCAGGATGAGGCGATTGAGGCAGCATTTATAGTGCTCCATGATGAGATCTCCCACTATAAGCAGTTGTGTTATCCATCTTAACTGTCTGTTGACACTAAAGGAACAGTTACATATTGGTAGTGATGACTTCCCAATACTTCCTGTGAATGGAAGAACACAATATGGTCTCCTAAAAAGGATGCACAGAAACTGTGAAACTTGAGAATATCTCCTGAAATGAGATTCGGAAAGGCATCCGCAATATGGAGGTATTGCGTTGCGATAACAGATATCTGTCCCTGAAGAGGCCGAAGATACTATACTCAGTCCAATAACGTTGGTTCTGAGCAAGATACGATAATTCCAGTTGAAGACATGGTGAACCGCTATCCGCATCATGCGGCCTTCGGCACAATTATTTGGCAAATAGGAGACCAATGTATATCCATATATCTCTGTAATGAAACTCAACCAAGCGACCAACTTGCAGCTTGGTGGGGTGGAATCGTACTTTGTCGTACGGAATATGGAAACATAAGCGGCACTGGTCCCCGCCAAAAGAATTAAGAGCGCAAGCGCGAGTCTGGCACGAACGCTTGAGCCATTATAGGTATTGTGCTCAGATATAAAGAACCGGGCATGTGGTAGCTGTCAGAGTGTCCGGTATCAGAGCCCATTGGAGGAACCCTCGGCGTACAAAGGAGCAAGGATATTTTAGAAGTCGACATTGCCCCAACATTCCAAAGCTGCTCTGTAGGTGTGTGATTTGGCGACCACCAAAAAGGTAGCATGTTAACATAGAAGCTATGGGAAATGCGCGATGGATAGCCCCCCGGGGCAAAGAATCCTATCCTAGGAGATAGAACGCGTCAGTTCCAATACCCAACATGCAGACCGAATGCAAGAGCATTCTAAGACTGTCAACGTTACCAGGATTATATTTCTGTTGCACTAACAACACCGGACGCACGGGTTGTGTTGCGGTCCGCTAGATGGTCGTCACGTCCCCGTGTGACGACCACTCGCAGCTCATTGCTAATATGCGTTGAAATCAGTTCGTCCAAGGTCGCGGTATCCAGTAGTTGGGAGAAGGCATCTCGTCCACTCCACTCGCCGCTGTGTTGGAGTAGTACGGTCAGTTGAACCCTAGACAAATATAATATAGAGGCATCGGACTGAACAAAGACGAAGGTATTAGCCAGGTAACTTGAAACGTTGCCATTTGTAGATATTCCAGAGAACCGTTCCTCTTTCACCCACAGTGCTGGTGAGTTTCTAGAGCCAGATTGGATGAGATACGCGAATGCATAGCATCAAAATACCTGGGAAAATGCGAGCCTCTAGTTACCCCAGAGCCCTGTGGCCTGGCTACTTCGAAACCGAACCGAGATGCAGAGTACGCAGCCAAATATCAACGGGGAATAGGATTAACCAGGGGCTGAACACGGCCACAACTTCCTTTCCAACATAGAGAGCGCGCAGTATTTTGGTCAAATCCGCAGCACAGAATATCTTCCAAATGCTTCGCTTTGCTATTTCGCGAATATAGGCCGACATCCATCATTACGTATTTGAATACGATGATCGAACGACGGCCCTTTGTTTTTCGCCCTTTAGTCAAACGGGTTTCTAATCCCTGGGGGGTCTAAAGGGGTTTCGAGAGCAGGTTAACCTTCGAGTTGATTGCCATTGGAAGTAGGAAGGCCCTAGGTTCTTAAGCTACACAATATAAATACAGAGGTGAAGTACAGGCACAAACCTTTGTACCTCCTCACCTTTTTGAAATTTCTCCGGTTATACCTTCATTCCCCAGCTTCTTCCTGCAGCCACGACACTGCCAGCAATGTATCCCAGATACTGTTTCACGTCGCCCACTGTATCAGTAACGAGGTTTGCATCATGTATCCTACGCTCTACAAATTCGATTGTGGAGATAAAACCGGGCGATTTGTCTTCTGTCATGTTGACCTCCGCGCTGGCATAGACAGCAGCGACGGACAACCGTCTAGTATACCATGATGCATCGATAGAACGGTCGTTGGCAAGGTATAGGATTTCGGAGGACAACTTGTAAAGCTCATAAAGCGACGGTGAGATGTGTGATGGGAGAGACATGATTGCCAAAGCCTAGAAGTATAAATAATGAGTATCCAAGCTTTGAGAAGTCATGTTTCAAAAAGCAGAGTTCAGTCATGCTCACATCCTGCCAATGTTGTATTATCCCCTGATTCATCTTCAATCTTTCTATTATCAGGGCTTTCACTCTCTGGTCTACATCTGAACGTGAAGCGGACAACCCAGGGCCACCTTTGTCTGCGAATACTTCGCCGCTTTCGACCAGTTGCTTTAGCAGCCCTCGTCGGCTTGCCAGCCAGAATATCACCAATTCCAGTTCACCCCCACGCGGAAAAAGCTGCAAGGAAACGTCCAGGTATCCTGCTTCCCGAGCCCCAAGCACAACGGACTTAGTCGAGAATCCATGCTCCGGTATATACGTGAGGGCCGCTGAAAGAATGGCTGACTGTTCCGGCGTGTAGCTATCCGCGGGCGGGTCAGGGTGGAATTCAGAATGGTAGGACCGAGGGCTCAGCGAGAAACCGGGTGTTTTTTGTAATTTTTGAGGGCATGTGCGGGACGAAAGAGGGTATCGGCGACCGGAATGGTACGACTGAGAGCAACTAGTCTGATAAAGTCGGGATCTGCGGAAGAAGATGGACGCTGTTCTGGGAGCCGTTGGCTTGGGTATTATCGGAGCAACAGCCGGACGCTGTAGGCAATAGAGTGTCCGTGACATTGAGAGCTATTTCGACGTGAGAGAAGGCCAGGAATCATTTGTTTCGCGAAGATCGGAGCTCGTCGTGTGAAGCTTTTCTTCCGATCTCGAAACGGGTCACGTGAAAACTAGCTAGTGACCGAGGTCGTCCCGACTTCCAAATCGAGAATTGAGATCAACTTCAACGACAGCTCATGGAATGGCTGGACTGACGCGATAGTCACCAGAGCTTGCATTCAGTCGATATACAGCTATGTCCTCCTTATGAAATGACATTTAGCAAAATGTCCTCAGCCTGGCAAGGAACTATTATGGCGTTGCTTGGAACGCAGACTTCCAAAACCACTATATCGTCGATATTCATTACCAGGGATGTCCAGTCGTTAACTAACCTCGCTATTTATTTGAATTCAAGGCTCACTAAACAAAAGACAACTCAACGAAATATGAAGGGAAAATGCGTGACCATGCCCAAAATGCGCGCAGAGAAACTAGGAGGGCATTACTTTTTTCCCTGAAAAATGAGTAAGACAACCAGCCAACCGGAACAATAAGCGAAGCAGAACATTGAGCTCGAGCTCAACTTGTCGCCCAGCCCGATGTCAAAGCAAACTCCCCGGCGTTCTAAAGGCACTCAAGCGAAAACAGCAAACACCGCAGGAACAAAACCCCAACTCCGTTCACCGATTTTGGTATCATGGCAATTCGTCATTTATATAGGATACGTTCCACGCAGTTGTCCGGCGAATAATCATCTTATCCGAACCGGCGGAGGACGGGGTCCCTGGCTCCTGGTGCAGTACGTGTCCCTGCCGGCTAGCTTGAAAAATACTGCTTTTGCTGCTGAACTGGGTTTCTGCATTAGCAGAATATGCTGTGCGGTGCATATTTGAAAGCGCATACCCCTCGCTCGGAGTTGAGGTGTCCAGTGCAAGCAACCAGCCTGTGTTGAATGCTTTGATAAACGGCTTCATACAAGGGATTGTTGCGGCCATCAATCCGAAATGCAGCGCGGCTTCCAAGCAGACCGATGAACTCGCCCCATAGAACAGAGGGTCGTTGTGGATGAACTCTTGGTGGAGGAAATATATTCTGAAAGCAGCGATGACAAACACCCTGATTTCAAATTAGCCCGGGCAAAAACAATGGCATCGGTGTTACTCACGGTAAACGAAATGAAAACGCGAGAAGAACGACAAATTTCGATTTCAATCTCATTCTGAGATTCCAAACGAGATATACGGGAAGCCACGCGGCAATGAGTTCCACAAAGATTCCTAGGCCTTCGACAATGTACCAACGAACGACCTAATGACAGTTAGTTCACGAAAGAGCCTAGCCGCCGAAGTTATGTTGTCCGCACCGTTTCAGCACATTTCGGAACGATTCTCCACGGCTGGAATCTGCATCGCAGGCTAAGAATGAAAATCGATACGAAACCAAGCACTCCCGTTATGATTACTCCAGTATACGCAATGCGACTGTGCTTTGTATGCCGGGTAAGCCGTACAACTAGTAGAAAGGATGCGGCTCGGGACAGAGTCATGCCAATGATATACAGTATATCTCCGGCAAGGGCCAGCTACCGACAGGTTAGATCTTCGCGACTCATTGGGCTCCACGCATGTCCCACCTTTCCTACGATGTCTCTGTTTTCCAAGCTCACAGCATCGGTTCTCTTTCCCAGACCATGTTTCGCTTCCGATATTTTCAGCGCGGTTTGAACTATGGCAACCACCTAATAAAGCAACGCGCATGGAGCGACTTGAATTAGCGCGTTGACACACTGGCGGCTCTTTTGAGCCAAAAAGGCCAGGCGGGGAAGATGAGGTTGAGATGGGGATCAGAAAAAGGGTGGTGATTTACCGATCCAGCAGTAACGGTCCAGTCATCTAGTCCCAGTGGCCCATTGATGGTGAAGCGAAGGAGCAGTCTCATCAAATAGCACAGAATCATATATGTCATCAGAATGGCAGCAAAAATAACAACATATGGGCCATGCTCGTCATCGCTGATGTGATATGGTCCGCCAGCCATGGGCATGGACCAACCAGGCTGGCAGAAGTGGAAGATGAACGCTTTCGAAAGACTGGGGGTATAATCAACTAGAGGGGCTTGAAATCACATAAGATCGTTTCCATCACCACCTATTCAAAGCCGTCAGGAAAGCAGAGGTGCGAACGGTGTCAATTGCTTGCCCTCCTCAGCGACAAGTCTTGCCATGTTCAACATCTCGGAAATCATGATAAACAAAATTTTACGCCAGCATTGGTCTTCCGAGAATGCAAAGGTGAAAGAGCGCAAAAGGTTTGAGCTAAGATGACCGGCTAACTGCGAGCGGTCGCTGGTGAATCGTGATGGTGAGCCGGGCGGCTGCTCCACCCAGTCGGCACTGCTGATTGGCACATCGCCGGGATCCGCCACGAGGCCACCCCGATCGGGAATAGCGCGGCGCACTCCGCACTTGGCGCAAAGGTTATACGGTCTTGGCATTGCTAGCGCGTTTCGCTAGTCGGCTTAGCTAAGCATCGGGCTACACAGTCATCAAACCAGAGCACGCACGCCCGGTTTCGTCTCGGTTTCTTCCTGGTTGTTAATGCGCCATTATTTCAAGCTGATTCTTGTGCAGGGTTTGCCAAGCGAGCATGGCATCCAATTTTAGCCTTGATTGAAAGCCTGGAGTGCACTCGCTACGAATCGACTGGCTTCAAGCAGGGGGATGCCTGCCCAAAACCAAGCGTGCACCTTTGCCATCATGGTGAGAGTTCTATTGGATCACTCCACCGACAAGGTTCGAAAGGATTAGAGCCGGGACGACTTGTCGATAATAATTACTCAATCGAAGCGACCTCCGCCTTCTCGGTCGTGTTCCCGCGGGTCTGCTGGACAAGCTATATATATAAAAGGATAGTCCTCTTGCAGCCTGCCAAATATCTCAACAGTATCGCAGACCAATCACCTAGTCCTGAGAAGTTAGAGGGCTTGAACAATGAAAAACGAGTAATGCTCACATGTGCAGTGCTGGAAAGGCTTTGAGAAGGGATAGAGCCGATTGAGGTTCTTGATGTCAGTTTTCAAGAGCGGTAACTAACAAGATTGTTGATACCTGTTTGACCGGCATCAATTCTCCTCAGCAGGATCATATGCTTCTCATACATCACCAGCAAAACCAATGTGTCCCAGGCATCTGGTCATGTCCACACCCTTTGAGGCAGAATATTCTCCTTCAACCCCTGGCAACTCTTTCAAACTACATATTGACAGAAGCACTAGCGGAGGATGAATTGTTAGTCTGAAAAATGGTCAATCGGCTCAGTGGTTGTGGGTGGACGCAGTCATTCCCTGGATACCTTCTTAGCCTTGCCCTTCGCCCCCCAGGACCATGAATGAGATTAACAGGTTGATCAAGACGGGCCCGAGACAATGGCGCGGTGATCAGATGAGTCCTGATTTCTTCCAAGTGCTGTTGGATTGAGGCATCTTGAGGTGGACTTGCCAGACTTCTATTCCAACGATCAGTGGTCGACTTGGGGCAACGACAGAAGCCGTTGTAACTATGTAACTTGTGCCACCAGACAAAAACACAATCCCAAAAACCGGATTTTTAAGCAACATGCTATGTAGGTTTCTCTGGGCACTGTGTCTGGACCGTGGATGTGCGTCCCTTGTCTACTGTCGGACGTCTCTGGGGATAACTCATCAAAATGAAACTTCACGTCAATCTGGGGCCGCTTCTCCCGTCTCCTCGAGTTAATTTCAACGCTAACTAGTGAGGGTCCATCTCATTGTTCGAGAAGATCGGTTTTCGGCGCTGAAAGCGCTGGTGAACTCAACCGGCATCCCGGAGAAAGCGTCGTGGCCACTCGGGTACAAGGACTAACTAGTTAACTAGTTAGCTGGTTGCATCTCGACTTTCTTTCGAACCCCCTTCTTTTGAACCAAACCGACCGCGCATTAGTTAACTTGCTCCCTCGTGGCTGATACAGAGAAAAAGGGTTAAGATCAACGCAACCTCTCAACCACTGCCTAAACCGTCAGAACCTCGCCTTTCATGACTCCGTCCAGGCTTTCCCCAACCCTTGCTGGGCCGAGCCATTGACGTGCTGGACCATCCCTGTGTGAAATACCCAGGGTGGGCTTGATGAAGGTTTCATTTTCATTCCTCGCATCAGCTTCATTCGGCCAATAACAACCGAAACTTCGAACGGACAGCCTTTTCGTTTGCCGTCGCGGTTAATTAACTAGTGGATACTTTGATAGTGGTAACGCCATCTTCTGGGCAGGCAGCTGAGCGGCATTTCAGTCTCATCCGCCGGTTCAAGTTCAACATGCCATTTCGCTAAACGCCAACGAGCCCGCATCTTTCCAACAAGCCCAATAGTTAGAGGCTCGGAGTCGTTGGCCCTGCAGCGCGTTAGCTTTACTCCTGGGTCTCGTGAATCTCGAGACTCATCGTTCTGTTCTGTCTCGCCAGTATCCGCTCCTTCACCGGATTCGTCATCCAAAGCTCCAAGTCTCCGATATCGACAACTGCGCAAGCTCCTCCGGTCTTTCTCTATTCGCCGGTTTCCTTTCTTTCCCCTGATATTCCCGGGGCGTGGGAGCGAGCGCATTATTGTTCCCTTCGCTAGAAGGCTCTTGGCAGGCGACTCGCGCAATCAACTTGACCTCGATACGAGATTCTGCATTTCTACGCAATCAAACCCCATTTCCCGCAAACGATAACCAATATTTGCAGGAAACAATGGATAAAGGATCCATTGTCGAGCGAGGAGGTGCCTCCAAAAGCTCAAACGTGCTTGTGAGCTTAAGCACGGCAGACGATGCCACTCATCATGATCAAGATGATATGGCACGGATGGGAAAGCCCCAGCAATTCAAAGTAAGTATCCAAGTGTCAATGCGATTATGGAGTAGATGGCTAAGATCTGGCTCTAGCGAAACTTTCGATTCATGTCCACTCTTGGGTTTACTTGCACCTTAATGGCGACATGGGAGTCTATTCTACTGTGGGAATCAATCGTCTGCTATAAGGCTGTCCGGAACGCTAATGGCTCGAACACAGCACATCAAATCTAGGCCTAGTCAACGGCGGTCGGGGGGCTATGGTGTATATATACATTGGGACGTTCGTCGGATTTTTCTCATCGGTCATTTCGATGGCTGAAATCGCGTCACTGTTGGTTTTGTCGCTTGAATGCTTTTTAGGATCTGAAAGCTCTGACCACGGACCAGGTCACCCACCTCTGGCGGTCAATACCACTGGGTAAGCGAGTATGCGAGTCCCAGATTTCAGAAGTTCTTGAGCTACATTACTGGTACGTCACCCTTCACTGTGTCATTTTACGTGGCAGCTCTGGATAATTGACCAGTCGAATAGGTTGGCTATCCGTCCTAGGCTGGCAAGCAGCATTTGCTAGTATTACTTTTCTCTGCGGCACTCTGATTCAAGGGTTTATTGCTGCGAATTCGGAGTCCTATACTCCTGAAAGATGGCATGGCACTCTTCTCACCTTCGCAATTGCATTACTTTCCACTTTTATCAACACCTATGCAGCGGGCCAGTTACCCAGCTTGGAGGGTTTGATTCTGATAGTCCATGTTTTTGGTTTCTTCGCCACGATGATTCCTCTATGGGTAATGGGTGAAAAGGCCGATGCAGCAACCGTTTTCACTGAATTCACCAACGCTGCCGAATGGCCTAATCTTGGCCTGGCCGTTTTAGTTGGACAGATAACTCCAATTTTCTCATTCCTGGGTAAGTTGCATCCTATTACTTCAGTTACAACGGCCTTGTCTGATCTTTAATTCGTGAATAGGGCCCGATGGTGCGACGCATATTGGTAAGGCTTTTTCAAGCGGACCTGTGATTTCTCTGGGTAGTGAAACTAATTTTTCTGTAGCTGAGGAGATCCAGGACGCTTCGCGAATTGTGCCTTGGTGCATGGTTGCAACCGCTATTATTAATGGCACTCTAGGTTTTCTCATTCTAATTACGTATCTTTTTACGATGGGTGATATCCAGACTGTTCTTAATGCACCGAGTGGATTCGCTTTTATTTCCGCATACCAGAATGCACTTGGATCCGCCGGCGGCGCTATCGGTCTGGCTTCACTCATCCTAATTCTGGAAGTCTGCAGCGCCATCAGTATTTTGGCAACGTGCTCACGGCAGACTTTTGCCTTTGCGCGCGACAACGCGCTTCCGTTTTCCAGATGGTTCGCCAACATGAATCCAAAATCCAAAATTCCCGTCAATGCTGTAGTATTCACGACTGTGGTCACCCTCCTCCTATCTTTGATCAATATCGGTTCAACGGAGGCGTTCAACGCCGTGGCGTCTCTGACAGTCGGATCCCTCTACCTATCTTATATCATTTGCGTTGGAAGCTTCATTGCTCGTCGCCTGCAGTCCGAACCCCTTCCACGCGGCCGATTCAGCCTCGGAAAGTTCGGCATGCCGATCAATGTCTTCGCCTTCTTCTACATGTGTTTCGCAATCGTCTTCACGTTTTTCCCGAACAAATACAATGTCACTCCTGCGTCGATGAATTGGTCGATTCTGATTTGCGGCGTGGTTATTATCTTTGCGATTGTTCAGTATATGATCCATGGAAAGAAAACGTACGAAGCTCCGGTCACGCATGTTAAGAAAGCCGAGTAACAGCACCCTGTCTGCGATTCAACAGGGACTCGCGTGCTCGAATTTACAAAAGTCAGTTTCATGATAATCTGTATGTACCAGAAAAGCAGTTAAAATAGCATTTTCTTGAGATGAACTGCCAACTATTTCCAAGAACGTTCTATCACTGGTGACTGGATATCTCATAAGATAAACATGCTCCCGGAAACTTGAAAGTCGGCATTACGCCGACCCGTGAGCGTGTACTTGACAAGGCTATATAAATATATTCCCATTCCCACAGCTGAAGTATAAAAAGATTAGAAAACCATTGTGAAACCGTCGCTGCAAATATTGGTTCCCCAGTATGGATCCCATTCAACAAGTTAACTATGCCAAACACTCAAAAGTCGTCGTAGTCGTCGCCCGGCTCTTGAGGTTCGTATAAGATATCGGACCTCAGTGTATATTTGACTCCCTGCAAAACCATATCACCAGAGTGATACAAGCCATTGTGCTGAAAGATC